GATAATAATGACTAAGTACGGTAATTTTATTACACAGTATATTATTATCATTCTTCTTACATGGTAATAAATTAATAATGATTAAATACGGTAATATTATTACACGATATATTAATATTATTATTCTTGTTACACGGTAATACATGATCTATTCTTATTACACGGTGATTTATGATTTAATTATCATTTATTTATTCAACACTTACTATATGTACCACCATTTCTATGTATTATTTTGACATTTCTTTTAGATTTGATCTCTTTTCGAAAAGGAAACGAATGGTTTGTATGATTAAAATGGTTTGTTTCTAAATTGGAAATTACATAAATTACGAAACTGTAAATTTAATGCATTGATTAAAAAATTTACAACTTAACGTGATTATTACCTTTTATGGACAAATATTATTTTTAGTTGAATGGTAATCATTTTTTTTATTATATCAATTAGAATTTAATAAAAAAGTTTGGTAGTAGAAAAGAAGTTTATATAAATAATATTTTTTTATATTTTGTTTCCTTTTTAGAAATATATTAGGCATGCAAAATTTTTTTAAATTTATCATTCTAAATAAGAATAGAGTAATTAATTAATTATGCATGCGGAATTATTCTAAAAAGGAAACAACGTAGATCTTGTTTGCAAAATTAGTCCCTTCCTTTTTTATCAGAATTAAGTAATTATGCATTCGAAATTTCTTTTAATTTATCATTCTATTATTCTTAAAAGTATTTTCTTTTAAGAATAGATTGATTAAGTAAATAATTACCTATTTAATTAGGCATAAATAATTACTTTTTGATAATATAATCAAGCGTAAATTATCCCAAGTAATTATAATAATAATAGTAGTAATAATTAGGCATAAATAATTACCTATTTAAAAAAGAAACAAAATATAAAAAATCTCCTACACTGTTCCTTCTTTTTTTATCACAATCAAGTAATTAGTCGAAATTGGTTAGGAAACAAATTACTCCCTTCCTTTTTTTATCAGAATAGAGTGATTATGCATGCAAAATTTCCTTTAATTTATCATTCTAAATAGGTAATATTACACAACCAATTATAGCCGGAGATCTTATTTGTTCTTTCATATCGACGGCGGAGGAGATGAGTGCATTGGGCGGGAAAATAATTCCTCTACTTTTAAGAATAAAGTGGTTTTAGAAAACTTACCATTTTTACGCGTTTGTGCTTGTAAATTATAATATTTTTTAATGATAAACAATTAATTTGTAATTTGTTTGAAATAAATAATTTTAATCGAACCCATACTTTCTTAATTTGTAATTTTTAAATTTTATTTTAATATTTAAATGGAAGTGTATTTTATTTCCATACTTCAATTCCCCAATGGTTCACTATTATTTAATTTAATTTAATTTAAATGCTTAAATGGTGTAAGATTTAAATAAAAATAAAAATAAAAACATACTTAAAATGGAAGGAAAACATTCAGGTAAAATAATTAAACTACCATTTATGTTGTCAACACTTTCCATATATGAGTATCATGCATGGGCGGGAAAAAATTCATGTCTTTTTAAATAATGTATAGATATTCTTTTGTCCATATATCTCTGACTTCGTCTTGAACAATTTATCTGATTTATATCTTGGGTCAGACTAAATTGGGCTTACTTATACTGTTCGTATAATATTGGATTAGGTAAAATCCCTAATCCATCACATACCCCCTTGTTTTGAGTCTATCTTGGGGAACAAGACATTCAAAAACTATATGACTCGGTGGGTGATATATAAACTAATTATTAAAATATTAAATCAATATTCTTATTTAATAAAAAATAATCATAAAATAAAAAATATTATTACATTATAATATGAATGATTATTCTAATATATGAATTAATTAATTTTATTTCATTAAAAAATAATCATAAAATAAAAAACATTGATTATATTATAATACTATGAATTATCATTACAATATTCAAACGTTGTTATAAAGTTAAATTAAATTATTGATTTTGAATTTTAAATCAAATCATAATTAATCAGATCATATGAGATCAGATCCAATCATATTATATCAAAACTATAAAAAATCAATTCAGATCAGAAAAAATAAGTTGAACGGAAGGAAGCATAAGTTTATAGCTACTGGTTTCCAGTAGCATCAGCAAACGACATACTCCATCTCTGCCCTAGAAAGACTTTTCTATTCTGAGTTGTAATGCTTGATTGAAATTATTATTTTCAATTCAATTTATATAAAACCAGGGTAAAACTAAAAAAATAAATTTTTATATATTAAAAAATGATATAAAAAACTTTACAAAACAAGGAGTGATAAGCCTATATTTTTTGATGAATAAAAGTTTACCATGAAACCTTGATGCACATGGGCCTTTTCATATAAAACAAATTTTAAAAAGATCAAGTACTCTCTCGGTCCAATTTTTTATTCTCGTTACGCGTTACAAGACTTGACTCACTTAATTTTAAATTCAATTTATTTACTTGTAGGTGTAATTGTTTTTTAAAAAAACTTCTATATTTTGAAGCCAGATTAAAAAATTTTAAAATCAGTAAAAAGAATAACTTTATTATATTATGAATTGAGTAGTAAAAATAATCAAAGCAAATTAATAAAATTTAACTATGTGAATTGTAAATTCGAAGAATAAATCTAAAAATAGGGAGTAAATGTTTATCTTAATATTAGAAGAATACTTTATTGAGTAATGCTAGAGTCACAAACAAACAGTTCACAAAATTCACAAACTTGCCTTTTTAGCACTTTCCTAGAAATAAGATGCACTCAAGTAATAAAAGATATTTTATTTAAAATCCACAAAAGGAAAGTTTGTGAAGTTTGTGAACTATAAGTTTGTGACTCTAGCATTTTCCTACTTTATTAATCACATAAAAGATTTATGTGGACCTTAATGTATATAAAAGTTTGAGCTCCGTTCATTTGACAATAATGAGTCTTTTCATATGAGGAATCTCCCTCGATAGGAGTAAAAAAATACTCGGACGGAGGGAGTATTAAAATATCAAAATAGGAGCCCTAAGTCTTCTAAGACCAAAATAGAAGCGTAATGGCAGTATGGTGTAAGAGTATGTATTGGCAATGTGTTGGAAAAATGACAAAAGTGTAATATGTTTGTGTGATCAATCAACAGTTGGTGATCCGCGACGATACTCTAGTGGCCGGCGGTGATGCATGGTAGTGTGGCGTTGATAGTGTAACAATGTGACAATGTGGTAAGTGTGGCAGTGTAACAATGCTCGTTAGAACTCCTATTTTAGTCTTATAAGACTTATTATTTCTATTTTGGTACTTTCATAGTTTTTTACTTCTACCTAAGAAGTTCTCCCTTTTCATAATATGACAACAACTCAAATCGTAGTAGCTGTGTTCTTATCGTAAAATTGAGGTTCCTACCTCCCCGGTAAACCTCCACCCTCGTCCGGCAACCGGCCCCTACCCAGACTCCCAACCACTTCAATTTTATTCCTCAAATTTATTTGACCTCTCGATTAAAATTTGAGAAATTTGAAGAAGGGGGAATAAAATTGAAGGGGTTGGGGGTGGGTTCAGGAGGGAGCGGTGGTTTATCGAGAGAGTTTGGCTTCGTTCCGTTCAAATTATTTTTTCTAATATGATATGATTTTTTGTAGTTTTGATCTGATCTGATCTGGTCTAATCTAATTAATTATGATTTGATTTAAAATTCAAATAAATAATTTGATTTGACTTTATAATAACATTTAAAATTTGTAATGATAATTCATATTATAATATAATCAATATTTTTTTTTATTATTTTTTAATAAAAAAAATTAGTTAATTCATATATTAGAATAATCATTCATAATATAATGTAATAATATTTTTTATTTTATGATTATTTTTTGGTGAATAAGAGTATTGGTTTAGTATTTTAATAATTAGTTCATATATACATTAGAATAAATATTTAATTTATATATACATTAAAAAGTAATTAAATTTAGATAATTAATATAGAGAAGAGATAATATTTTTATTAAAATGTCTCATCCTTATAAGAGATCAAAAGTTTATAAACTTAATGTATTTTAAAAATAATTTTTACCGACGTCTAATAATTAAGGATTACTTTCTCAATTTTCTATTTAACTTGTTTCTAAAATTTATTCTTTTCTGTTTTTAAGAATAATAATAATAATAATAATAATAATAATAATAATAATAATTTTCGATGAGACCTAATCTGATTGGATCTGATCTGATTAGATCTGATCTGATTTGATTGGATCTGATCTGATATGATCTGATCTGATTTGATTCGATCTGATCTGATCTTAATAAGAATAAAAATATTAGAAAAAATAAGTTGAATGGAACACGGCCTCAGTAGGGAAAGCACAATTAATTTTATGGTCAGAACTAGGGGTGGACCGGTACGGTTCCGGGACGGTTCCGGTTCCGGAACCGCCGGTTTCGATACCGCCACCCCTTGGTACCGATACCGGTACCGGACCGGCCGGTACCGTTTCCGGTTCCGGTACCGGCGGTTCCGGTACCGTTTCCGGTTCCGGTACCGGCGGTTCCGGTACCGGTTCCGGTACCGTTTCGGCCACCCCTAATTTTCTTTTTTTTTTTTGCTTTTTTATTAAATTTTTAAAGTGTAAAATTGTAAATGTGTAATTGTTAAAGGAAAGGATGAAATAAAAAAATATAAAAATGAAATTGATAAAGGAAAGAATGAAATAAAAAAATAAAAATAAAAAAAATTAATAACGGTACCGGAACCGGAACCGGTACCTCGGTGCCGGTACCGAAAAATGGGCACCGGAACCGGTACCGGAGTGGGCGGTACCGGTACCGGTTCCCGGAACCGGTGGACCGTCCCGGCCGACGGTAACGGTACCAGAACCGGCGGTAGCGTTTCCGGTCACGGTACCATACCGGTACCGTGTCCACCCCTAGTCAGAACACCATATGTACTTCGATTGAGTTGTTGTCATATTATGACAGAGTTGCACTTTTTTGACACTAAGGTTCATGTGTGAAATGTGGACCTATTACACATTTAGTGAGCTGACATAAAGAGTTTTTATTTTTTTCAAAGAGCTTATATACTCCCTCTGTCCGTTTATGATCTTTTCATTTTGACTTTTTGTGATTTTTAAGAAGAGTTGAAAAAAAAGGCGAAAGTTTACCATAATACCTTTAATGAAAATGGGTGTAGTGCATTAAATGAGAAAATGAGATGTAATAAATAAAGTAAGTGGAGTTAGTTGTGATATTTTAATTGTTAAAAAAAGTAATAAGATCTATGGAGGACAAATAAAAGAAGTTAGTGGGAAGATCTATGGGGACAAAAGAAATACGGAGTAATAAGATCAATAAAATGAAAGTGAACATTAGGATTACAGAAGAATTTGCCATTATAAAAACACCCTCTGTTGTCAAAAAACAGATGTAGAAGTTTACATTTATGAAATGAGGGTCCGTTTGGTTTACGGAATTGACGGAATTGGAATTGAATTGGAATTGAAATTCCATGGGATTCAATTTCGTAGAATTGAATTCGGTCAATTCCCATTCATTTTTTGCACTATCAATTCCAAATCCACATAATTTTTGTGCTACCAAACACCAAAATTGAAGTTGAAGTCCTCAATTTCAATTTCATAGTTTGAATTCCATGTACCAAACGGGGCCTGAGCAAATTTCCTTTTAAAAAAGAGTAAATTATCTTTGAGACGTAGAGAATACTACCTCCGTCCCGCTATATTCGTCCAGTTTTGATTTTTGGAACTGTTCATCTAAGCATTTTGACTCATCAAATTTTCTTAATGTGTAAGCCTAAATATAGTCATGTGTGATCTTGTTTGATTTGTCTTAATATATATATTGTTAATTTATAATTTCTATAATTTTTTAATATACAAATTACAAGATAAAATGGATTAAAGAAATGCATTGGATGGTGTGCAAAAATGAAAATGGACAAATATAGTGGGACGGAGGGAGTATTATATTAAAATATTTCGTTAATGGAGGGTAGAAGAGCAATTAGCGTACTCACTGATAAGAATACGCTAATTCCCTGAATAGTCGGTTATCTGTAATGGGCCGAAAATTGCCGATAAAAACGATGGGGTTGAAAACTCTACATATAAAAGGCCTATAGACTCCTTTGACGCTTCACGCCACCAATCCTCCCGATCTCAAATCTTTCTCTGCTCCATCAAACCGCAACCATGTCGTGCTACAGAGGAAAGTTCGCCGGTAACATTTCTATTCATGCTCTTATAATTCTTTTTTTGTGGTAACTCCTTATATGATTGACGTTTCGATCTTGCGTTATTTGATCTTTAAATGTTTTATTCGAAATTTCAATTCCCATTATCTGGATCTGCAGGATTCGCTTTAATTCCATGTAGATCTTATTCATCGCTTTTGCCTCAGATCTGAAATTATTTCGTTTATTTAATCTTTTTTCGTAGAATCACATTAATTTCTTCCAGGCGAGGTAGATCTTGATCTATATCACTGCTTATTACATCTGGCGGTGAAGACTGTTGTTAATATCTGTTTGTTTACGTTCTCGTTGCTACAGCTGTTTGTTCGGCGCTGATTTGCGTTAATATGCACCATTTTTCATTGTCGTAGATTAATCATAGATCTGGTTTTTTATTTTTATTCTAGTTGTGATATATCATTATATTACACCAGTTACTTAAAGTGTGATAGTATTTTAATTGATGTTTTCTGATTTATAGCTCTTGCATTATTTGGTGAAGTTGGTATCTATTGTTCTCAAAATATGAACACGAATGATAAGATTTACTTATTCTTCATTTTTTATTTTTTAGCCTGGATTGGATAAAAATTAACACGGTTTTATTGAAATTGACTTATTCTTTGAAATCAACTAAGATGATGAAATTTGTCCACTGGATGCTCTTTTCATTTTTTGGATCTTTAATTATTTGCAGATGAGCTCATTGCTAATGCCGCATATATTGGCACCCCTGGAAAGGGTATCCTTGCTGCTGATGAGTCAACTGGAACAATTGGCAAACGTTTCTCTAGCATCAATGTTGAAAATGTTGAGTCAAACAGGAGGGCTCTCCGGGAGCTGCTCTTCACCACCCCTGGTGCTCTCCAATACCTTAGTGGTGTAATCTTGTTTGAGGAAACTCTTTACCAGAAGACTGCTTCTGGTGTGTTGATATTTATGTATTTTTGTGATTGATTAAAGCTCCAATTGTCTGGTAGTTTTGTTTCTATTGATTGGTATTTATATTAATTTGCAGGCAAGCCATTTGTGGAAGTTTTGAAGGAAGGCGGAGTTCTTCCTGGAATCAAGGTTGACAAGGGTGTGGTTGAACTTCCAAGGACCGATGGTGAGACAACCACCCAAGGTCTAGATGGCCTAGCTGAGCGTTGCCAAAAGTACTATGAGGCTGGTGCTAGATTTGCTAAATGGCGTGCTGTGCTGAAGATTGGCCCAAATGAGCCATCACAGCTTGCCATCAATGAGAATGCCAATGGTCTTGCTCGTTACGCCATCATCTGCCAGCAGAATGGTCTTGTACCCATTGTTGAGCCTGAGATCCTTGTTGATGGGCCACATGACATTGAAAAATGTGCCGATGTGACTGAGCGTGTTCTTGCTGCATGTTACAAGGCCCTCAATGATCATCATGTCCTTCTGGAGGGTACCTTATTGAAGCCAAACATGGTCACACCTGGTTCTGAGTCTGCCAAGGTTGCACCAGAGGTGATAGCGGAGTACACTGTTTGTGCCTTGCAGCGCACCATGCCTCCTGCCGTCCCGGCCGTTGTGTTCTTGTCTGGTGGGCAGAGTGAGGAGGAAGCTACCATTAACCTTAATGCAATGAACAAGCTCAAGACTAAGAAGCCATGGAGCCTCTCTTTCTCCTTTGGACGTGCTCTCCAGGCTAGCACTCTCAAGATTTGGTCTGGTAAAGAGGAAAATGTTGAGAAAGCCCAGTCTAATTTCTTGGCAAGGTGCAAAGCCAACTCTGAGGCAACCCTGGGAACTTACCAAGGTTCTGCTAACCTCAGTGAGGCTGCTTCCGAGAGCCTTCATGTGAAGAATTACAAGTACTAATCATGGCTTTCGTCTCTTGGCTTGTTTCAGTTTTGATTAAGAGCAAACTTCGCTTTGCCGCTTGAGTGTCACCCAAGCATCGCTTATTTAGGCTTTCTTATCTCTCTGCCGAACCATCATTTATATCATTTTGCATTTTAATAATAATAATACTTGCTACACTGCTAGGCAAAAATGATTTTTTGCCTACGACAGTTTTTTTTCCTTCTAAATTTCTTTGTCTCATACTTTCATGCCCCGTGGTGACTAAAAAAAATTATGTCTGTTTTTCTAAATTACGCCCATTCTTATCGGCACTTCTATGATTGAGTATTACTCTCTCAGTATTTGTCAATATACTTTTTTAATCTATTTTATCTTGTAATTTGTATATTAAAAAATTATAGAAATTATATATTTCCTCCGTCCTAAAACTTTCTTCCCGGATCGCAAAATAAAAAAAATTTCAAGTTTTTTTGATCTATTTTATTTAAATATTGGTATAGAAATAAAAAATAAAACATATATATATTTAAAAACTATATTAAAATTACAAGAAAATAAATGGTGACAAGAATATTTTATTTTATTATATAGGCCATGAAAAAAACACAAGTAAATATAAATTCTCGTGAAATTGGAATAGTATTCTGGGAAGAAAGTTTTAGGACGGAGGGAGTATTAATAATCTATATGTTAAGATAAATCAAATAAGATTACACATGACTATATTTAGGCTTATACATTGAGAGAATTTGATGAGTCAAAATGCTTAGATGAACAGTTCCAAAAATCAAAAGTTGACAAAGATAGCGGGACGGAGGTAGTATCTATCATCAGTGGTAAGTTTTGATTTACAACATTAGTTGTTCTGCACATGTTACAAAATGGTTATGTTATTTAGTCTTCGAATATCAAGTACGGAGTATTATTTTGTACTCCTTCTGTCTCATTTTAAGTTATTTGTTTTTCTTTTTTGTCTCTTTTAAAATAAGTTTCATGTTTCTTATTCTAGTAAATGTTTAAGGGTAAAATAATAAACTTTTCTTAAAATAAGCTACTTGTCTCCGCTTTATTTTCTCATTCATCGACATACAAATTACGATTCAATAGCAATATATAGATAATAAATTTAAATATTAATACAATCTATTTTTTATTAATATATACATGTCTAACTTTACAAATTTTTACTAGAAGTCAAATAGAAATAACATATTCAGACAAACAAAGGTAATAATAGAAACCGATTGTAATTTTAACAGGACACATCAAAAAGTAGTTCTTAAAGTCTTCTATGACAAGAAATATACCTCGTATATAATAATTATGAATTAACTTTTTAGACCTCAAATTAATATTAACAAGAAAAAGTTATAAAAAAATTATTTGTATACACACACACACACACCTTTCATAACAATACTACATACATACCAACTAGGTGTATGAATAAATAAAATAATATCAATGTAATTTCAAGTGCATAACAAAAAAGATTAGTCCATATACATATCTAAAAAATAAATACAAATGACACGTCAACCAAAAATATATCAAGTACTAAAGACACTTTATATAATTATAACCAAGAAACATTATTTCTAAACAAATTGTCTCAGCAATTAAGATAATTGAAAAGAAATGAATTCACGGTGCTAAAATTCTCTCTCATAGATCGAAGAGCAGAGTCTTAAACACAATCTACAAAGAAAAATTGGAATTATTGTTTCATAATAGACTAGTGTTGCTTCATTTTCTTCAACTTTCAAGTATCAGAGTCTGTAGTCATATTATTTTAGGGCCATAAATAATGTGCTACAAGGTGAAATGTCATCTTCCATGGATATTAGCACATCAACTACTTCCAAAATAGTTGGACAACTTTATGTGGGTTCCATCCTAACTCAGTAACTAGTCTCTCAAAGATCCTCCAATTCTTCCATTCACTTTTCAACTACCCCATCTTTGTTTCATTTCTTGACTGTCGTAGGTAAGTCCTGTATGTGTCATTTTTCAACTTAGTGGCTATGTTAATTCATGTAAATTTTCAAACCACCTCGAGATCTATTACCACCTTCTAGTTCTATTTTACAGATATCACAACATTTGATAACATGACTTCTCTCACATTGTGTTCTTTCACGAACATTGTGATTATATTGAGAATTGAGCTGTAACAAAACATTTGATAAATATTGAGTACTATGAGTGATGAAGTATTCAAATTTCCAAATGTTTTGACAAACCTATTATTGAATGAGTGCTATGACATGATGCTATTAATTTCAATCAAGAATGGCCTGTCGATTCTCCTTCCTCCATCGGGGCAAGAATGCCTTTATTGTCTCGCCATTTCTCTACTTAATCATCGTTAGGTGGGTGTAGTATATCCCCAACTAGTCCCATTTGTCAATGGAATCCCGTGGTATAGTTGAAATCCAATCCACCACCTTGTTATCGACAGTGTAGAGGAAATAATGACATATCATCTTGTCTTTGGAACCTACTGAAATCATATTCTAGACATAATTCCAAGGTGTTTTTGGGGATTAAATTCATACCTTCTCATGGGTGAGACTTTGAATCCTTCTAGATATGGGAATGCATAACCCAAGTCTTCTTATAACATGATTATGGTCTTGCACATGTGCTCTTTCACAAGAATTTTGTCTTTTATCAAGATCTTGCTGGAGTCCTCAGATGGTCCTAGAACTGGCCTTATTAGACTTTCTTACTTTCCTTACGAATGACCTCACATGACTCCAAATTATCTTAGCGGCTGGTCTTGCCCTAGGATTAGGGCCCAACCTCTCAGAAACTAAGACTTTAGCATCAGATAACCTTCCAAATACTTCGCCCCCATGTAGCAACCTCCACATCATGTGGAAGGATAAGTTCGGTTTTGGCTATTTGATTTTTACCCAAAGCCAAAGACAAAATGGAAAGCAAGTTAGCGGTTTTGTTTGGTTCAGTTTTACATAAAAAAATATGTAAACCATTAGTTATTCAGTTCGGTTTTATGTGGTTTTTATTTTGGCTTATTTCAAATTTTTCGATTTATAATAGTAGAAATTTGTAAGCACTAAAAAATTATAAAAATCATAAATCAATGAAGCAATAACAATATGTAGGATTGGGTTCGAATTTTCGGTTTTATTTTTATGCAAAAGAAAAAATCAAATGGAAAGTTAGTGTTTGTTCGGTTCAACTTTACATAAAAATACTAGCATCACTCCCGTGCGTTGCACGGGTCATACTTATATTACTAAAATAAGATCATTTCTGAAGGTTACAATTTCTTATCTAATACTCCATCCGTCTCTGAAACATCTTCCCCTTTCATTTTTCCTTTATCCCACAAACTCCTTCCTTTTTCTATTAAAATTACTTTTACCCTTACTTTTTCATACCCTAGCTATCACATCATACCTTTTTACTAATAATATATCTATCACATCTTACTTTTATCAATCACATCAAGGGTATTTTTGGAAATTCAACACCAAAATATCTCTCCCTTAATTTTCCAAAAAGTCAATAACGGAACTTCTTCGGGACGAAGGGAGTAGAATATAAATATTTTATTATTTTAAGGTACAAAAGTTAATTGCTTTACAAATAACGAAAGATTTCTTTATAAACTACATTACTCGTATAATTTTTATATATCAAACTTTTAAAACTTTATTTATTTAAAGACTTCTTCATGATTTTCTACTCCGAAAGCATGAATCTTATTTAAGAACTTAAGAGAGTGTAAGTCATTCAAAAAATTTGAAAGAGGCTAATCACGAAAAGTGATTGAGAATGACTGTATTTAAAGTATGAAAAAATTAAAGTATTTTTCTATTTCCATGCATCTAATTTTTTCTGGGTAAGTTATCAATTAGTGGTTGATTGTTCAACATATAAAGTTATATATTATTCAATATGTTTCCATGTATTAAAGGCACATCTCTTAAAACGATGTCTCCATAAAACGTTTGGGCCTGGATCTTTAAATGGAAACATTATTTAATTGAAAGCTTATTTGGTTAGAATTATTACACGATAATAATAACTAAGTACGATAATATTATTACACAGTATATTATTATTATTATTATTCTTTCATGACAATAAATTAATAATGATTAAATACAATAATATTATTGCACGATATATTAGTATTATTATTTATTCTACATGGTAATACATAATTTATTCTTGCTACAAAGTAATTTATGATTTAATTATCATTTCTATATTCAACACTTAACATATGTGCCACAATTTCTATGTATTACTTTGACATTTTTTATATTTAATTTCTTTTATTATTTTTTATTTTTATTTTTTAATTGTGCCTTCCTTAAATGCATAAACTTATATATTTAAATTTCTTCATAAAATATTTGGCACCGAATCTCTAAATGGAAACATAATTAAATTGAAAGCTTATTTTCTTAACAAAATGGTTTGTATGATTAAAATGGTTTGTCTCTTAATTGGAAATTATATAAATTACGAAACTGTAAATTTAATGCATTGATTAAAAAATTTACAACTTAACGTGATTATTACCTCTTATGGACAAATATTATTTTTAATTAAATGGTAATCATTTTTTATTATATCAATTCCAATTTTATAAAAAAGTTGGTATTAGAAAAGAAGTTTATATAAATAATATTTTTTATATTTTGTTTCCTTTTTAGAAATATATTAAGCATGCAAAATTTCCTTTAATTTATCATTCTAAATAAGAATAGAGTAATTAAGTAATTATGCATGTGAAATTATTCTAAAAAGGAAAAAACGTAGATCTTGTTTGCGAAGTTAGTCCCTTCCTTTTTATCAGAATTAAGTAATTATGCATGCAAAATTTCCTTTAATTTATCATTCTATTATTCTTAAAAGTATTTTTCTTTTAAGAATAGAGTGATTAAGTAAATAATTACCTATTTAATTAGGCATAAATAATTACTTTTTGATAAAATAATCAGGCGTAAATTATTCCAAATAATTATAATAATAATAGTAATAATTAGGCGTAAATAATTACCTATTTAAAAAGGAAACAAAATATAAAAAATCTCTTGCAGTGTCCCTTCTTATTTTCGTATGGGTAGCTTTCCTATTTTCGTAAAAGGAAACGAAATAAACATTCGAATTATTGCAAAATAAGTATAATAGGTAGCTTTCCTTTTTTTTCCTTCAAATCAATAATAAATATACAAATTTTATACTTTGTATTTATTTAATATATGCACGGGATTTGCTTTTTTGTAATCACTTAATTCATTAAA